ATCATTATTCATATTACAAACAGAATCATTATAACTTCTAAAATAAAGTTTGAAGTAAAGCCTACTTTCCAACTAACTGCCACGGTAAAACTAGAGACATGTTACTAAAGAATTTTCAAACAGACTGAGTTAAAAACCTTAGATGAAGAAGACAGTAAAATGGTAGGTAGCCCTGTTGTAGTTCACTTGTTCCCTGATCATTTGAAAATCGGGTGGCTTTTACCACTGGTCACGTTCCTCATCCTCATGACCACAGAGATGTCTCTCTTGTTACTGAAATTACCTAATTCTATGCTTTGGGATTTCTAAACTATGCCCTCTTTCTGCTCTGATCTTGGCATTTTTATCCCTTTGATTAGGAATTCTACTGCAGTAACACACCTCACCAGTGGGGGTCAATTCTCAAACTCTACTTTGACCAGAAAACCCTTGTCAGTGGCTTCTGATTATATAAAACATACTCATTAGTAATTTATATTTTTATGTACATTTACTGTTCCTATTCAAATTTTTCTTAAAGAGAAGTCTACCAATTAAAATTAAAACTAAAATTAATTTAAAATTTCCAAGCAACCAATGCTATAAGGAATCCTGGTGTGGTGCCATAGGGTAAGCACTCGACCTGAAGGTTAGTTTGAACCACAAGGTCGGCAATTCAAACTCAGCAGCCGCTCCTCGGAAACCCTACACAGGGTCACTGTGTGTTGGAACTGACTCGAGGGCACTTAACAACAACAACATGCTATAACAATTCTGTAACTTTCTGTAATATTCTTGTTTTCCCTCTGACTCAAATACTGGATACTTCAGTTTAAAATGAGATATTTACAGTGAATAAAAGATTTCATTTGTGGGAGAAAATTTGTACCTATTCAACAGTGTGAAATTTCTCATAGTAAAGAGTATATTTTCATAATACAGACTGACTTCTCATAGAGGTAATTCCCAATATAAATTAATTTATATACAAAGATGAACCAGAGACTAATACCTCCCCATAATCTTCTTTTAAATACTTATTTAAATTATATTCATTATAACATATTTATATTCATTTATATTTATTATGACACCAGTTATATAAGCAAATATACACACAATTGGTATTCTGCAGAAAAAGAATAGGAAGAAATATACCAAAATGTTAACAGTGCCTGCCTCAAAATAGTGGAATTATGAATGTTTTGGGTTGTGTTTTTTTAATACTTTTTTCATTTAAAAAATTTTCCCCAATAAATTGGAAGTATTATAAAGAGAGGTTTATCTATATAGAATTTTTTGTATTTGTTATTGTGGTAAAATACAATAAAATAAAATTGACCATTGAAACCATTTTAAAGTCTCTAACTCAGTGAGTGACATTACATAAATGCACAGGGCTGTCAGTTCTAGAGCACTGTCATCACCCCACGTGGAAACCCTGCACCCATCCAGCAAGCAATTTCCATTCCCTTGCCCACTCTCCCCAGCTGCTGGCAGCTACTTTCTGTCTCTAAGGATCTGCCTATTCTAAATATTTTGCATCATTGGAATCATACATATATGACCTTTAATGTCTCATTTCTTTCACTTAGCATCATGTTTTCAAGGTTCATTCATGTTGTAGCATGTACAGCACATCATTCCTTTTTATAAGTGGATAATATTCCACGGTATGGATGTATGGAGTCCCTGGGTGGTTTGGTGCAAACAGTTAAGTACTTGACTGCTAATCAAAAGTTTGATGATTCAAACCCCCCTCAGGTCCTTGGAAGTAAGGGCTGGTGATCTGCTGCCAAATGGCCACAGTCTTGAGAACCCTACAGACTGTAGCTCTACTTTGCCACACATGGGGTCACAAGGAGTTGGAATCAACTCCATGGTAACAGGCTTGGATTTTTGTTTTTAATATGGAGATACTGCATTCTGTTTATCTGTTTATCAGCTGAGGGACAGCTGGGTTGCTTCCACCTTTGGCTATTGAGAAGAGTGCTACAATGAACATTTACTTACAAGGTTTTGTTTGAACAACTGTCTGGGCATACACCTAAGTGTGGAACTGTATCAAGATGTAATTTAAAAAATATCTTTACTTCTACTTTGACACTCTTGTGTTAGGAATAGTAATGATTTTTCAAAGTTGTAAAGGATAGCACTTAGAATATCATTCCGACAATAATACCATTTCATTTTCATTCACTGAGTATGGTTTATTTTTTGAAGCTCATACCACATTCTTACACTTAAAAATATAATTTAAATATAATTTTCCCCTTTCTCTTTGGGAACAAATTTCTCTTATGTCAAATACTTTTCCTTCCTTCCTTCCTTCCTTTGCCTTCCTTCCTTCCTTTTGTCAAATAGTTTTCACAATGATGAACTAACTGAAAAGGAGTCTTTTCCTCATACCATAGTTCTTTAACAGTACCTAGTAAATGCTTGTATATTACAAGTATAAAAACATAAACGCGTGCATTTTTATTTTGCTTCTACAGGAAAGTATAACATAATACACATCAATATTTAAGCCCTAAGGTATGTACTAAATACCCAATACTAAACAGTAGTATAGAATCTTCTAGACGTTCATGCTCACAGATGATGACCAGAGAGAATAAATATACCCTGAAAGAGTACACTATACGTTCCCACCCTCCTAAGAGAAAACTGATACATCTCATGAACATACAAGCACAATAATATTGTTAATTTTCGCTGTAGACAGAACTCGAGGTGTACTACAGGATATGCTCTTGGTTCACCCTCAACTATTTGTTGTTGCTAATTGCTATCATGTCAGTTCCAACCCACAGAGACCCTGTATAGGGTTTCCAAGGAGCAGCTGGTAAGCTTGAACCACTGACTACGCAGTCCAAATGACTGCTGTCCAACACATTAACCCACAGTGCCACACTAGGACTCCCTCCCTCAACTAGTAGATTCCCTATTTTCCTTATGTGTCTGATTCATGTCTGTCTCTCTGTCTCTCTCAGCTACACATACACTCCAATCCAGAAATTAGTCTGACTAGAGAATCGGTAGCAGTAGCCCTACAACAGTAAAAGAGTCAGCCCAAACTAGTCTATTTATTGGGAAGTAGGGGATATGATTTGGCACTATTTAAAAATAAATTACTGGAAAACATTTCCACAGCAGTGATAGACTTCTCTTTAAGAAAATTTCAAATAGGAATAGTTTAATATACTTTAGGAAATGTTCATTCTACAAAAGTTTATTATGCTAACTTTATTATCATCAGCATTATCTTTTTTTTTTTATTCTTTCTGAAAAATCTTAAGATGGTTTCATGTTCTGATAATGTTCCCCAAAAATTTTGCCACAAAACTCTGAAGGAACTCTTTCATCCTACTCTTTGCAGAAACGTTTCTAAGTAGCTCTGGCATAACAATAATTTCAAGCATAGAAATTACTCAAAAGAAGATTAAGAACTTTATAAATGTCTTTCTCAATGTGGAAAACTAAAATTGCAGTATAGTGAATTGTCCAAAGTCTTACTAGGAATCAGGGCAAATTCAAAAATAAAACCCAAGTCCACTGAATTGTCTTTTACTATGGGAGATGCTCCTTCTGAAAAAAACAAAACAAAAACAAAAACAGGACATGGTACATCATAATGATATAGTAATGCCCTTTATGAGTGTGTGTATGAGAAACACTGTTATTGTACATGTATCAATGAATTCCCATTGTTTCATACTTACAGCACTGATTTCATTATACTTATTATTTTTCTCTGTTACTAAACTGTAAGGTATTTTATCCACTGGCATCCAGTGGATTCACAGCAACTTTTTATGTCAGAGTAGAACTGCTCCCTAGGGTTTCCAAGGCTGTGAATCTTGACAGAAGCAGAGTGCTTGTCCCATGTAGCAGTTGGTGGGTTTGAACCATTGACCTTTCAGTTAGCAGCCCAATGCTTAACCCACAATACTACCAGGGCTCTCTAAGGTGTTTTATGTTGTTGTTTTTAAGTGCCGTCGAGTCGGTTCCGACCCTTAGCGACCCTGAACAGGGTTTCCGAGACTGTAAATCTTTACGGGAGCAGAAAGCCCCATCTTTCTCCGTGGAGCAGCTGGTAGTTTCGAACTGCTGACCTTGTGGTTCGCAGCCCGATTTGTAACCACTACACTACCAGGTGTTTTATATCAGGGGCCCAATCTTTCCCCTTTGTATACGCATTCTATATGGGGTGTGTTTCATAGAAAGATACTCAATGACCATCCCCAAACCATCTCATGGTGAGGACCTCTGAACATCATCAACAAGCCAACTCATACTAAACAAGAATAAAAATAAAATCAATCCAATAATGGAAATGCACAGAATCTGGACTATAACCTTAATATTATATTTGTTGTTGTTGTTAAGTGCTGTCGAGTCGATTCCGACCCATAGCGACCCTATATAGGGTTTCCAAGGAGCAGCTGGTGAGCTTGAACCACTGACCTTGCAGTTCAAATGGCTTTGCAGTCTGACGCATTAGCCCGTAGCACCACACCAGGACTTAGTTGTGATTAAGTGAATAAATTTAGGTAGCAAAGAATGAATTAGCATTAACTCTAGTTAATCAACACTCTATTATTATCCAAGAGCTGATTTCCCCAACTGGTGTGTTAGCCTAACTCTTTTGTACCTTCGTTCTTGTATCCTGACCATCTAAGCACTTGGTGACAGTTATACCAGACTGCATAGAAATGGAAATTAGGAGAGAAATAAATTCCAATCAGTCCTTCTTACTACGTATTAGCAGCTTTTATAAGGCGCTCTGTCAAAGTAATAGGGTAAAAATGAAGACCAAATTCAGTTTGGGAAGTAAACCATTCTACAAACCTCCTTCACACATATCTCCGTGATCAACTGTGGATTTTATTTATCTGTATTACTTTCAATTTCCATTATAATAGAGAGTGGGCTGAAAGAGTCATTTTATGGGCCTAATTTTAACATCTAGTCAGAATTTACCTTCATTCTGCTTTAACATTTTTTTTCAATAGTCTTACCTCCCAATCCAAATAATCGCAGACATCTTCAAAGTTAGTGAGCAGAGACACTGAGCAGAAAAGGCGTGGCAGCTCGTCCCTTGTCATTGGGGGGAAACGGCTATCTTTAAGGGCACTGTTGGAAACAAAGCAAATATTAAAGCCATTACTAGCTATAATATGTCCTCATTTCAAATGCAATCATTTGAAAATGATATGACACTTTAAAAAATTATGTCATAAATATAATCTTTTAAAAATGTATTCAAAGACCCTAAAGATGTTAGAAGTCATCTTTTTTATCTCTTCCCATTCAATAGATTGTGCATACTACCCAATCTGGTGACTACTTCAATTATATAGAGTGAATGATCAATTACATTGCCTGTACAGTCGTTTCCTGGTACATTTCCGTTACATGTAAAATGGGAGAATTTTTTGCTCTACTTTTGAGGAGACTAAAAACCAGACTCATGGAAATTTGTCAGAAGACTTCAGGACCTAGTAATACTGGTGGGGGAACAAAATGTGTATTATATTTTAATTCCCTTTTTCTGAACTTTTTGAAGTCCCCTCATATGTGTGTATCCATATATATACATATATATAGGCTTTTCTCCCACGGGCTTTACTCCATTTGCGTCATCACGGTCAACTCTACTCTGAGGAGGCAGCTCTTCCCCAGTCCCATTTTGAGTGCCTTCCAACCTGATTTGTTCATTTCAAATACCTTCTTTAGACAGCATAAGAGATGACTACACACATGGACCTCACCAGATGGAATACACAGAAATCAAACTGACTACATCTGTGGAAAGAGATGATGGAAAAGTTCCATGTAATCAGTCAAAACAAGGCCAGGGGCAGACTGTGGAATAGACTATCAATTACTCATATGCAAATTCAAACTGAAGCTGAAGAAAATGAAAACAAGTCCACGAGAGCCAAAATATGACCTTGAATATATCCCACCTGAATTT